AGAGACAGAGATTGGATTGGTGGTTACCAGAGGGGAAAGGCGCAGGGAGGAGGGCGAAAGGGATAATTAGGCACATGTCTGTGGTGATGGATTGTAATTAGTATTTGGGTGGTGAACATGAGAACATGACATAATCCATGCAGAAATAGAAGTATAATGATGTACACCTGAAATTTATACAATGTTATAAACCAATGTTTCTGCAGTAAACAAAAAATTTAAAAAATAAATAAATAATAAATAAAATAAAATATGTTTACATTGGACGATTAAACTATTTTAACACACACAAAAAAAGAGCTTAAATGGTCAATCACTATTCTTCCTGCACTTATGAAAATAATCAAGATAAGTTTAATACAAAGCAATTAGTTTTACTGTGATTATCTTTGATAAAAAGGGAATAAACATAGAGAGAAAAACTATGCTTGCATATTTGTCTATATAAGATTCTAATCCTATTATCTCTTTGAGGTTTTGCTATATATCTGTAAACTGGACTGGATCCTGAATTCTTCCAGTTTCCTAAAATATCTGACTATGAATCTCCAAACTAGCATTTCTAATTTTCTCCTACCCTTCTGAGTTGGAATCACTCAGAACAAAGACTGCCCTTGGATCTCCTTGGAAGGGACTATACCAGCTCCTCCTCACCACCCAGCTGGCAGTCAAACTCCAGGGACTTGAGGCTTGGGTACACTTCTCACAGATGAAAAAGGCTCTACCTGACACGTGGTCCTGTACAGATGCTGAAGACGTCCTAAGCAAATTGACGAGGAAGAGAAGTAGCCAACATCAAGGAAGACTTGCTTCCTCCCAAGAGGCCAGATCAAGACTTCATACTTTAACTAAACGTGAAACCCTTTCCTCTTCTCTTCCTTTTTTATTCTGACATGGGCCTACAAAGATAATGCCATCATCTGTATCTCCCAGGCCATCACTAAGGGGGGGTCACTTTTCAGACTGCTTCATTTGTCATCAAAAAATCTTGTCTGTCCATAATGCTAGAGACCCCTGGTCTGTTTCCCTGTCTCTGGTTAACAACCCCAAACTTAGGGAACTTTGCATCCAGGATCTATGCAAAGAAAGGGACACAGGCAAGAATCACCAGAATAAAACCATCTGTATGGTCTACAGACCCTTAAATTTTACCAGTCTCCATGGCTGTCACCTTTCCAGTCCTGAGCCACAGATTCAAACGGGAGTTACTAGGAGGCATTCATGATTCAGGATTCTCTTCCTTTGGCAGAACCCTACTTTCTTGGTTAGAGGTAAATATAAATGAAGCTTTGATTGGAAACCTCTTCTTAACTCTTGGAAAGATAGTAGAATCTGCTGCTAATGCAATAAGCTGCCCAACAAAAACCCTTAGACTCTCTGGCCAAAGTTGTTCTTGATAATGGGAAAGCCCTGATTATCTTTTAACTGAGCAGGGAGGTGTCTGCACTGTGGCCAACACCACCTGCTGCTCCTGGATTAACACTTCTGGGGAAGTTGAAACTCAGTTACATAAGATCACTGAGCAAGCCATTTGGCTTAAAAAGGTGACTCCTTCGATTGGGTCTGTCTTTGACTCGTTTGATTTTGATTGGTTTGGGTCTTGTGGACCCTGGCTTTGAGATGCACACCAGACATTGGGAATTATCCTGCTCGTGATAATCATAACAATCTTCCTGGTGTGTTGTGTTCTCTCAAAAGCTTTAAATGCATGTTCCCAGCTGATAACCACCAAGCAAATGATCTTGTTAAGAGTGGAACATCAGGGCCGGCCCCGTGGCTTAGTGGTTAAGTGCACGCTCTCTGCTACTGGCGGCCTGGGTTCGAATCCCGGGCGTGCACCGACGCACCGCTTGTCCAGCCATGCTGAGGCCACGTCCCACATACAGCAACTAGAAGGATGTGCAACTATGACATACAACTATCTACTGGGGCTTTGGGGGAAAAAAGGAGGAGGATTGGCAATAGATGTTAGCTCAGAGCCGGTCTTCCCCAGCAAAAAAAAAAAAAGAAAAAAAAGAGGAGGATTAGCATGGATGCTAGCTCAGGGCTGATCTTCCTCACAAAAAAAAAGAGTGGAACATCAGAAAAGCAACAAAGAGAATATCTGACTTAGAGGGAGAAGGTCAAATACCGTATGATTTCCTTCATTAAGTAGTAGATAATAACAACAATAAACAAACACATAGGGACAGAGATTGGATTGGTGGTTACCAGAGGGGAAGGGGGGAGGGAGGAGGGTGAAAGGGATAATTCGGTACATGTGTGTGGTGATGGGTTGTAATTAGTATTTTGGTGGTGAACATGATGTAGTCCATGCAGAAATAGAAGTACAACGATGTACACCTGAAATTTTTACAATGTTATAAACCAATGTTGCTGCAATAAACAAAAAATTAAAAAAAAATAAATAAAAGCAAAAAAAAAAAAAAAGAATATCTGACTTAGAGATTGTGAACCTGAAGATGTGACCTGTGAATGTCACAGTGATTAAACAAAAAATGTCATGACCTATGGATACCATGCAAAGGATCCCCAAAAGCTGTGAGCAGTAGCTGAGAGTGGTGCTAATGCCTTAAATTTTGATCACATCTCTCAGTTAACATGAGAGTCTGATCAAAAAGGGGCAATGGTTAAAAAAGAGACAGTAGGCCCAAGATGGATTCACTTGAGCTAAGCCCACGTCACCAAAATGTGACTTAATACCTCATCTAATTGCAGTTTCAACCTCCCCCAGGAAAGTAATCTTAACTGATCAGTCTGGAATTTCTTGGTCAGCTCTGTGAGATAATCCTCCTAATAGACCCCTTTTGTCCTTCAAAAGAAGGTGAACTTGCTCAAAAGAATCTTTTTTTTCTGTTCAGGACTTCCTTGTCTCACTCCCTCTCTGCCTTCAAAAACCTTTCCTTTTGTAAAGCTCTTTGGAGCTCCTTTCTCTTTGCTAGATGGGATTCTGCCTGATGCATGAATCATCAAATAAAGCCAATTTGATCTTTAAATTTACTTAGTTGAATTTTGTTTTTTTAACATCTTTGACCACCACCACCCATCTTCCCCTCCCCCCAGCCCCTGGCAGCCACCATTCTACTCTCTGCTTCCATGAGTTTCTTTTTCTATGAGTTACTACTGTAACTTCCACATATAAGTGAGATCATACAGTATTTGCCTTTCTGCGTCTGGCTTTTTTCAAGTGTCTAGAAATGCTGATTTGAGGGACTTCTGGCCATGACCCACTGTGAAAAATACATTTTACATCAGCGAGATAGAGGGAAGTGAGCCAAGTTTCAGAAATCAATATTCACTACATGCAGCATCTGATACTTTATAATTATAGTCCTTTTAATTTCTTTTAAAATGCTGGTTGTTACCTACTAAGTTGGTTCCATGACCCCGCCCCCCCCGACCAATGGGTCATAAGCAGCTGGTTGAAAAATACTGACCTGTAGATACTTTGACTATGAATAAAACACACAATTCTTTCACTGTGGGCCTGGCATTTAACTGCCCTGATGTGTTTATTTTGGAGGTGAGGTGTGTGGCTTGTGAAAAAGGTTGTTAATTCGCTATGTGACCTCAGTAAACTCACTCATCTTTTTAGATTTTTTTCTTCATTTTTAATGACAAATTGGTTATACATCACATTTGCTTCAGACTCTGTATCTTAAAACTTTCTTATCTTAATTCACCTTAAGCCCCTTAATACACAATTCACCATCTCTTTTGAGCATGCTAAAGCATTTCAGTAAGTTCCACACTATCACATAAAACACACATTCCTTGTCCAAGCAGAAATGGGAAAATGAAGGTAAGATAGATGCCTCTATAATAACTTTTAAGAAATAAAGCAACAGAACATGGAATGAGGTCTCCTTCAAAATTTTTCCAGAGCCAGAACATTTTTCTAGACCCAAGATCACAAGTGAAACATTACCTATTTTCTGTGGAAAGCTGCTAAACCACTTCTTACTTACCCACAAGATGAAAAGTGCTTGCTTCTCACCTAGTCTGGCAGCTTCTCAGAGCTAACAAAAAAGGAAATATGTCTCTTCTTATCTTGAGCTCCAGTTCCTCAAGGAGTCTTGTGGGTGGTGGAGAAGGCTGGGAGTATTGGTTGGGGAATTTGCATAATGCAGGGTCCATTAGTTCTCTTTTCATTCAAGCAATTTAAATAGTACATTATTAGGGTGGAGCCTATTAAGGTGCCTCAGAAAACGAACTTGGCAATGGTGATGGTGTCCAACAGGGGAATCCCGTAATGGAGAGTGGTGTCAACTTCCATCTACACCAAGAAAATGGATCCAACTTTGGGGAGGCTCCTTTAATATGGTGAACTTCTTAGTGAGAGAGTTGAAGGCCAGAGTGTGAACGAGACTCAGTGTATCTATGTATAACCCAGTTCCCTATCATGGTATCACTTCTCATTTTACCACATTGGGAAAATGATGTACCATATTCTTGGTCTTTCAGATAAGGTCGTCCAACACAAGAACACTCATCTACTTGGCTGTTAAAATTCCCACTACCATGGTGTCATGAAATTTTCTTCTCATTCATACTAGGAGAATATTTGTAAGATCCAGCACAAATATGCAAATACCCCTTAGTTTGACAAGTCAAAATACACACCTAGTGATTTACTCCTTGTCTTGGTTTTATTACATTTATGAAACATGGCCTTATTAGCCCTAGCATTAACTTCTTCCTTTTGCATTTTCCCATTTATTTTTATAAATTAATTAGAGCTAATGCAATAAAATATTCAACTAATCACCTAGATATGGCTGTCTAGGTAGGCTGGCAGTAAGCCTCTCCACGTGAGACCCAAACTATTTACTTCATGTGATTCTCAAAATGTTTCTTTTGAATGACAAATGGAAGAGAGTTTAGGCCTATAATCGTTAGCTGGGCTAAAGTGAAAATGGTCTGAATATTAAATAGAAGTGCCTAACTCCAAGAGAAGTCCCTGAAATCATGAGCAATTCATGATCTCACAGCCTAATTCTGCATGTGACAGATTATTTGCACAAACACATGCAAGAATCCCCCCATTTTCATGTGTAGTCCTCCATGATGACTCTAAATTTGGCCAAGTGGCTGGCTTTGGCCAATGAAACAACAGCTAACAGGATGTGAGCAGAGATTTGAAAAGTGCTTGCACATTGGGGTTTGCCCTCTCTTCCTGCACTTGGAACCCCAAGATCACTGTGTGAATGAGCCCAAGCTAGCCTGGGAGGATGAGAAGCCATGTGGAAGAGAACCAAAGCTCACTAGTCAACAATCCATCACTCGATGCCAATGTGCCAATGACCAGATGTAGGAGTGAGGCCATGCTAGATCATCGAGCCAGCAGCTGACCCACCAACTAACCAAAAATGCGTCAGAGAACCCATCAGAGACCAGCCAAGCTAGACCAAAGAAATGTCTAGCCAACCCACAAAATCATGAACAAAATAAGATAATTGTCTTAAATAAATGAAATTTGGGGATGGTTTGTTACACAGCCAAGGGTAACTGATACACTTCACAAGATGGACTGGAAGGATTTCTTTACGCACATGTTGTCAGGTTTGGTACCATGTGACTTCATCTACCAACTACAACTGATTGGACCATGGGTTGGTCCATACACCACCAATGTCCTATGAGGTGGTCCAAGCAGAGAAGTCTACCTTAAAGTCATTCTCCATATTGGATTTTGACTGCCCAATCCATCCAGTTTGTTTCTTTCTTGGAGAGTTTGAGTGCAAAGCCTCAGAGAGGAACACAGACAGACAGTAGAGTGTCCCATGGGCCAATGAACAAACTGAGAAGTAACGAAATCAGAAGCCATCAGACAGAAGAATCTGTTGATGACCTTCTTCTTAAATCCCAACTTCAGATATCTTACCTCTCCTTGACAGAGCAGTAGGCTGTCATTGTCACAGAATTCCAGTCTGTTTCACAACTCAAGGGAGCAAATGCCCAATGTCATGAAAAATTCAATGGGGTGTGGCTGCCTCTCGAATTTTAACAACTTTGTAACAATTCACTTTGGGCAACTGGGAAAGAATCTGCTCTCCATCCCTCTCTACCCTGTTCTGTGCACTGGGAGGTTGTCCTGTATGGACTGTATTATCAGCCCACTCTTGTGCTCTGTCTTCCAAATGAGTTTGAAAATGGTAGCCTTGGAAGGAGAGAAGAGGGATAGAGGAGAAAGAGATGGAGAAACTCCCCCTTCCCTGCAGAGACTGCACATTTGGGCAGTGGTTCAATTTTTCTGTCACAGGCTAAGCCCCTTTCCAGGTTCCTGTAACTGCTCCATCCCCTTGAATTAAAGGGAATCTCCTTTAATCCAAGGAATGATAAGCGATCCCTCATACTGCTACTCCCAGGGTGTCCCACCATCCTCTGTTGGTTTCTCTTAGCCCTGCTGTGATGTTGTGATTTATAATAAAAAATATATATTTGGTCTTCATCCTGTTTCTGGCACAAAGATCCTAAAACCCTTGGAATTTCCTGAGCAATGGGAGTATCTTTTGTTATATTTGGTCTCTCCTCCTCAGTTCCTGAGCCATAAAGGTGAAATGGGTGACCTGTTATTCATAACAAGCCCCATTCCAGCATAAGTGGGTTTATGCTAATGAGGTGACTTTTGGAGAGCACCTAAGGGGGGCTGGTTGCCAGTGGACCCAGCCAAGAGATTAGAGGTTTGGAATTTTCAGTCCCACCCCCTGATATCCAGGGAGGGGAGAGGGGATGGAGATTGAGTTCAATCACCAATGGCAAATAATTTAATCAATCCAATCGATCAATGCTTATGCTATGAAGCCTCTAGAAAAATGCAAAGAGATGGGTTCGGAGAGCTTCCAGGTTGGTGAACACATGGAAATTTGGGAAGAGTGGCATACCTGCAGACGGCATGGAAGCTCCAAGCCCCTTCTCCATACCTTGCCCTATGCATCTCTTCCATCTGGCTATTCCTGAGTTACATCCTTTCATAATAAACCAGTAATCTAGTAAGTAAAATGTTTCTCTGAGTTCCATGAGCCGCCCTAGCAAATTAATGGGACTTGAGGAGGGGGTCATGGGAATCTCCAATCTATAGCCAATCAGTCAGAAGCACAAGTGACAATCTAGGCTTTCGAGTGGCTTCTGAAGTAGGAGGGGAGGCAGTCTTGTGGGACTGAGCCATTAACCTATGGGATCTGACGCTATCTCTGGGTAGATAGTGTCACAATTGAGATGCATTGTAGAACACACAGATGGTGTCAGAGAATTGCTTGAATGTGTGGGGAAACCCCCCCACCTCATGCTGTGGCAT